CTGAAGAAGAGGGTTTTTTACCTATGAAAGCTTATGCCCAAATAAATCTGTTAGTCTTTAAGGTGCCACCGGACTCCTCGTTGTTTTTGTGGATACAGACTAACAGGGCTACTCCTCTGATACAAGTAGACAAGGAACATCCGGCTGGTGATGGGGGAAAGGAAAAGGGGGCAGGATGGAGGGGGAGAGGGAACAGGGCAGATTCTGAAAGGTGAGTTGGATCTTTCATGGAGGGGGTGTATCAGGGTTGGGGGGAGGGCTGGAGGCAAAGAGCCTGTAGCTGCTTGTCACCCAAAGGCTCGCAGCGGCAAGTTCTAGCGGAGGAGAGGGGGAGCAAGGTCTGGGTACAGGAGGGGAGGGAGGGGGTGAAGCAGCCACGCACTCAATAACCAGCCAGGCAGGCAGGTGAGCGCTGATCAGAGCAGATCACGAGGAGCCAGGAGCAGCAGGGTGCTGACATACAACACCGGTTAAATGTCAAGAAGCTGAGGAACAGATGAGGGGAGCCCAGGGCTCAGCCGGCTGTGAAGGAGGAGCTGCCCACGTGGGAGGGGCATGGACTGGTGAAGCGCTCATGGTGCAGATGTTGGGTGCATGTGGCCCAAGATCATGTGGCCCAAGATCCCGTGGCTCCAGTTGAGGCTGCGGTTGCTGGTTTGGTCTCTGGTTGCAGAGTGTTGTGCGTTTGGACCAGGAAACCCAGCTGCACCGAGCACCATCTCCCGTCCCCAGCTTTGGGTGCTCAGCACTTTCCAGAGCCGCCTCCCGCTCCCCCACCCCCCCGGGCATTGCCTCCCAGACACCTGCTGTGTCACTGAAAGGACGATCCTTTCAGGACGATCCTTTCATGGAGGTTAAGTCCATTAATGGCTATTAGCCAGGATGGGTAAGGAATGGTGTCCCTAGCCTCTCTTTGTCAGAGGGTGGAGATGGATGGTAGGAGAGAGATCACTAGATCATTACCTGTTAGGTTCACTCCCTCTGGGGCACTTGGCATTGGCCACTGTCGGCAGACAGGACACTGGGCTGGAGGGACCTTTGGTCTGACCCAGTGTGGCCGTTTTTATGTTCTTATGATCCTGGGCAGCACAGTGCAAAGTCAGATACTGCAATACCTGCTTTGTGCCAGAGCCTCTCTGGGCAGAGTTAGCACAAAGAGTGAGGGACAGACAATGGAGAAAACAATTCATCTGGGGGCCATGAACATGGGGCTCAGCCCAGAGGGCCCGATTCAGCCTCGCTCACCCAGCTTTGCATCAGGGAGACCGTGCAGCCTCTGCTGACTCCCGGGCAGGCCCACAGCGCCTGGGCTGGAGAGCAGGAATCAGGCCCGATTCAAAGGCACTGCAAATTGGGAACACTCCTTGGTTCAAATATTTCCCAGATGCAGCTGGGGAGAGGCCCCCAGTGGGAGCTCTGCAGCCTGGGGCCTCCATCCCCTTAGGCCGGGGGCAGCACAGGCCATAACTGGGCAACTTTCCCCAGCCTGGTAGTTTGCACTGCCGCTGTAACCCTGACCAGGAGGGGCCACCAAGGGGTCCAGTCCCCATGGGCAAGGCAATTTTTGGCCTGTCTGTCAACAAGAGGATTACTTAGGAATGATTCTGGGGCAGGTCTCTGGCCTGTGCGGTACAGACTAGATGCTCACATGGTCCGTTCTGGCCTTGGGATCTATGACGTTGTGAGAGGCCAAGCTATGCTGGGGTGCCCTGCCCAGCAGGGACGGCACTCACACTGTCCCATCACACACACGGAAACGTGCTTCCTCGTCATGAACCTGGCCTGGCCCCGGTGCCCTGGCATAGAACAGCCCTGCGTCCCGCATCCAGCCCCTGAGCTGGCTACAATCCTGCCACTCCCAGCTCTGTCTTATCTCCCAGCCCTGTAACTCTCTAGTTAAATGGAGCAGCTCCCGCCCAGGGCTGGAAGGAAGCATCCTCATGGCCGTTAAGTTCCCCTTCCACATATTAGATTAAGGATCCCTGGTCCGTCAGATTTACTGTGTAGGAATATTTGCAGGAAACCCAAGTGCTGCTCCCAGACGCCTGACAATGTTTTCTTCCAAGGAGCTGCTCAGAAAACCCTGACTCCATATTTATTGAGCTGGTAACCTGGGGTAATTCACATCCATGCCTCAGAAGGCACTGCCTGCTCGTGTTCCCCACGTCAGCCTCATCACATGGGGCTTCAGAGCCATGGAACAAGCCGGCTCCTAAACCCCGCAGGGCCACAGCTGGGATCAGTCACTGCACCCAGAAGTCTTTGCTTCAGCGCCCCACACACTGGCACAGGCAGTCCTGGCCATCTGGCAGCGAGTGGCCTGTGGCCACAGGTGTGCTCTATGCTCTCTGCTGGGAGCGACTCTCTGGTGGCTCTGCAGGTACTATGGTGGAGGGGAGAACTGAAGCCTTCTTTGCTGGGAAGTGAGCAGGGCCGAGCTGCTGCAGGAGCTGCACGCTGGAGCTGCGCGCCTTGCCGCTATGCCGGCATGGGGGGGTCCGGCTGCAGTGGCTTGTTAGTACCTCCTTGTGGAAGGGCAAGATGCTAGCTTCCTCTGCAGAAAAACTGGGCAGAGCCTTGCTCAGGAGGCCAGCTGGACCGATTGCCAAGCTCTGCAGGTCCTCCCCAGTGCTAGGGGAGGGAGGCTGAGAGGGAGGTGGTGGGACAGTGGGGCACAGAGCGCGTCCACAGGGGCTCTGTGGATGCAGGGCTCTGCCCGGCCAAAGCACCCTGGATCTGTGTGCAGCTGCCTCGCTGAGCTCCATGCAGAGTGATGGACCACCACAGACAGGAAAGGAGGGATCCTTTCTCTCCCAGCTGGGCTACAGACCTTCCAGCACCTGAGCCTGGTACCCAGGGCTGGCAAGTGGACTGGGGTGGGGAGGAAGGTCCCAGCCCTGCCCAGGATCTTGAGGAAAGGTGGGAGACCTTCCGACTGCCAATGGAGAGTGAGTGGCTGTGAGCCAGGACTGTGCTGAGCCCTTCACAGAGATGCTAACTGTGGGATACTGGAGATGCCAGCCGTGCTTTCAACACAGCCTGGAGAGAGGCTTCTCTGGGGACCTCGTGTACAAAGGGAACATCGGCCCGTCTCCCCAGCTCCTAGGGCTGCAGACCCGCAATACACACACCACTCCCACTGGCATTTAGCAGCTGCCCCCTCTTCCTCACGCTGACCAGAATGCCCCCTTAGCAAGCGAGCAAATGTCCTGTCACAGCAAAACAACTGCCCTGTGCAACGACATCGTCCCACCAGGGCCTGCCCTGGCCCCCGCTGAAATCAACAGCCAGGTGCCTCGCCTGCACGCTGCATTTGTGGTGTCACCAGCCTTCACTGTAAGGAGGAATTCTTGCAGAACCTGCCTGGGCATTCCTGGGAGCAGGAGCATGTCCCCCGAGGGGCTGCAGGCCAGCTGCCAGCTTTGCTTATGTCCCAGACTGACAATTGCCAAACAAACAGAAGTGATCCAAATAAGGCTGTGCACCCCCCTCCAGGGAGCAGCCAGGGTGATGGTCTGGCACCAGGGCGGGGAAGAGTCCGGATGAGACAGACAGTGTAGGAGGGCGGAGACCCCAAAACAAACTCGTTCTTTACCATGCACTGGAGACTGGGCACCTCCATTAGTCTACGGAGAGAAAAGCTTTAGGGCAGATTTATGGTGGCTCGACCCCGAGGAGAGCACGGAACTGCCCCTGCAGCTGGAGAGCAGATTTTGGGATCAGCCGGGGGGAGGCAGAGGCTCTGGGGGCCTGCTCATGCACTAGCCTGCCCAGCCCTTCAGAGCTTGCAGCAAGTTTTTAAAAAAATCACATTTTCCCAATAAACCCCCCCCATCACGTGTGGTTTCTGGCGAGCCTGGGGGGAGCTCAGCTAGCCTGGCTCTCTCCTCCCATGCCTGGGGTTAACAACTGAAATTTCAGCTGGCTCTCCTTGCAAAGCCCTGGGCTAGTGCACACTGGCCTGTGCATTGCCACTGGGCCTTTACTGTTCCTACTTGCTTGGCTCCTCCAGCCGGAGCTGTCCTTTACCCCTTTTAAACTCTGCCAGATCCTCTTCCGTGTTACTGCTTCGCACAGACCGCTCCTCTTGACCCTCTGCCTCCGCAGGAACTAGGAACTTTTACTTGTGATCTTTATGGTTTGTGAAATTAAACTACTGGATAAAAAAGTTTCCCAAGTTCCATACGGGGCCTACTGAGCCCAAGGACCAGGTGCTTTTCAAAGAACATCAGCAGCAGGACACAGAACTGGCCCCAGGCCGAGACACACCTCCCAGGTCCGGACTCAGAACCCATCCGAAACTGCGGCATCCTTTGACTTCTTTCCAGCTGGCCACGTGCTGAACATTCCTGGGGACTCCTATGGCTTTAGCCTCCGGACTTTTGGGGAATGTCTCAGATAATGATTAAGAATTTTTTAAAACCGCAGGAACTATGCCATAATTTCTTAAATAACGGGAGAGTATCCCCGGCTGTTTGCCCGGAGACTGCTCAGTTTGTTGGTATGTTTTCTAACGCTGCACATCAACCACGAGATGGGTACATTATACAGGTGCGAACATGAATCCATAGTAAACGATCAATACACAATAATCCAGCCGCGGTTCGGAGCTGGAGTGAGGGCGCTCTACGCCGCTGTAAAGGGAAGCAGGTTCCCTCCGTGCAGCACTGAACTGGATCACTAATGAAAGGCACCGAGCCCTGCTCGTGGCATCCTGATTTCACCTGACAACGGGTTTTAAGTCCTGGCGCCCGAGCATCGCACGTTGGTTCCGCACCAAAGCGACCTGGACGGAATCGAACCGAACCGAACTTGACCCTGCAATTCCGGGGCGAGTCTCCGCTGAACTGACAGCACCAGGCGCCTCCCCCCACGGCACCGAGCCGCCGGCTGTGGCAGGAGCCGGCCAGCGCCGCTGGGAGCTCACTGCCCCGGGCAGACCCTGCCCGCCCCCCCTGCCCGGGCCAGTGCCGCGCCCCGCCGCCGGGAGCTGCCCTTACCTGCCCGGGGCCGGGGCCGGGTCCGCTCGGCTCCTCGTGCGGCTGGCGGCGGGTCCCTCCGGCGCAGCTCCCAGCGAGGCTGGACCGGGCGGCGCAGACACGGAGGCGAGCCCCGAACGCAGCGGCTCCGGCTCCGGCTGCGGCTCCTGGCGCAACACACCCCGGCTGCAGCGCGGAGCTGCCCGGCCCGGCTCGGCTGCCAGGCTCGGGGGTTTAAATTCCACCAGCCGCTGCTGATTGGCTCGCGGGGACTAGCCAAGGGGGTGTGGTGGCGCTGCGGGGGGGCAGGGGGCACTGCGGGGGGGGCGGTGGCACTGCAGGGGGGCAGGAGGGGCGGGGGCGTTCCGGGGCGGGGGCGGGGCGGGGGGGCAGGGGAGGGTGGCACTGCAGGGGGGCAGGGGGGCGGGGGCGTTCCGGGGCGGGGGCGGTGCGGGGGGGCAGGGGGCGGGGGCGCTGCGGGGGGGCAGGGGTGGGTGGCACTGCAGGGGGGCAGGAGGGGCGGGGGAGTTCCGGGGCGGGGGCGCTGCGGGGGGCAGGGGGGCGGGGGCGTTCCGGGGCGCTGCGCTGGGGCGGCGTGGGGGGGCGTGGGGGGGCTCACAGCTGGCGGCAGGGGCGGCGTGGGGGGGCGTGGGGGGGCTCACAGCTGGCGGCAGGGGCGGGGGGAGCTGCAGCCCCTGCCGCCAGCTGTGAGCCGCCAGTCCTAGGCAGGGGCAGATGTGCCGCTGGGGTCCCTGCCTGGCGTGGGCCAGGGCTGCCCGGGCCGGGGCTGGCCGATGGCAGCTCCGCATTGCGTGCTGAGCACCCGCCCCAAGCTGGAGCGCGCTTTATTTCCAACTATTCGCCAAGCAGGCAGGGCTGCTGCAGCGGGGCCGGGCCGGGCTGATCCCCGGGCTGGCAGCGGGGCGTGACCCCTCCCCACGCCGCCCCCTTTGCGGTCTGAGTGCGCGCAATCTCCATCACTTCCACTGGCATCCCAGGGTCCCTCCCGCCGCCACATGCAGCTGCTGCCGCCGCCCCGGAGTCCCCCCAGCCTACCCCCAAGGCCAGGCCATGGCGGGGGCCACTTTGCGGCTCCCCCTCTTCGCGCCCTCCTGAAGGGTTCAGCCGCAGAGGTCCCCATAAGCTCCCCCAATCTCAAGGACTCCCTCTGCCATAAGCCCTGCTGGAGTGGGGGGAGGTGGAGCAGAGGGACCCCCTCATTGCACCCCCCTAGCTGTCTGTCCCTGGGCCAGCTGTCCTGCACCAGCTCTAGTCTAATAATACAGATTCTTCTACCACATTCATCACCACAGGAGTCAGGCCCTTCCCCTGCTGGCTGAGGGACTCACATCTGTCCTGCCTGGTTTGTTCTCTCCTCCACCCCCCAGGGGGAGGCCTGTGGTCTGTGGACTGTGTTGGTTTTGAATGTGTAGGCTCACCTTGCTCTATTGCTCTAATAAATATCCTTGAAGGGGGGCAATACAAAGAAACCCCCCCCACCCCCCCCCCCACACACAGCAGCATTGAACTTCAGAAAGGGGAACTACACAAAAATGAGGAAGCTAGTTAAATGGCAATTAAAAAGGACAGTCACAAGAGTGAAATGCCTGCAAGCTGCATGGAAAATATTTAAAATCACCATAACAGAGGCTCAAACAAAATGTATACCCTAACTACAAAAACCAATAAGAGGACAAAAAAGAGCCCATCATGGTTAAACAACAGAGTAAAAGAGACAAAAAGAGGTCCTTTAAAAATTGGAAGTCAGATCCTACTGAAGAAAATAGAAAGGATCATAAACTGTGTGTAACCAGTGTAAAAGTATAACCAGGCAGTTCAAAAAAGAATTTGAAGAGCAACTAGCAAACGACACACAAAAATCTAGCAGTACATCAGAAGCAGGAGGCACTGGATGGTTGAGGTGCTAAAAGAGCACTCAAGGATGACAAGGCTGTTGTGGAAAACTAAGTGAATTCTTTGCATCAGTCTTCACTGCAGAGGTCAGAAGGAAGATTCCCACACCTGAGCCATTCTTTTTAGATGACAAATCTGAAGAATTGTCCCAGATTGAGGTGTCAGTAGAGGAAGTTTTGGAACAAATTGACAAATTAAACAGTAAAAAGTCATAGGGCCAGATGATCTCACCCAAGAGTTCTGAAGAAACTCAAATATGACATTGTAGAACAATTAACTGTCGTATGTAACCTATCCCTTAATAGCTAATGTGACCTCGATTTTTTTAAAAGGCTCCAGAGGCGATCCTGGCAATTACAGCCCAGGAAGCCTGACTTCAGTACCAGGCAAACTGGTTGAAACTATAGTCAAGAACAGATTTATCAGCAAGGCTTACGATTTAGGCATGGGTATTTTTAGTAAAAGTCACGGACAGGTCATAGGCAATAACCAAAAAGCCACAGCCAGTGACCTGTCCGTGACTTTTACCAAAAATACCTGTGCCTAAATTTTAGATGCTGAGGGAGGAAGGGGTGCTCCGGTGGTCACTGCTGCTCCGGGGGGGTGGGGGGTGGCTCGGGGCCCCGCCACTGCCACTCCGAGTGGTGGCAGCCTTTGGCCCCACCACTGCCACTGCTCCTCTGGATGAGGGGCGGCCTGGGCCTGACCTCTGCTGCCCCTCCTCTGGGCCAGGGAGCAGCCCAGGGCCCTGCCACCACTCCTCCGGGAAGGGGGCGGCCTGGCGCACCGCTGCTGCTCCCGGGCAGCACCTGGGACCAGGTACCTGGGACCTCTGGAGCAGTGGCCAGTGTGGCTGCGGAAGTCACGGAGGTCCTGGAAAGTCACGGAATCTGCGACTTCCATGACCTCCATGAAAGACTCGCAGCCCTAATGATCAGACACTTAGATGAACATGACATGTTGAGAAAGAGTCAACATAGCTTTTGCAAAGGGAAATCATCCCTCACCAATCTACTAGAATTCATTGAGGGGGTCAACAAACATGACCAGTGGATATAGTGTACTTGGACTTTCAGAAAGACTTTGACAAGGCCCCTCACCAAAGGCTCTTAAACAAAGTAAGCAATCATGGGATAAGAGGGAAGGTTCTCTCATGGATCAGTAACTGGTTAAAAGATAGGAAACAAAGGATAGGAATAAATGGCCAGTTTGCACAGTAGAGAGAGGTAAATAGTGGGGTCCCCCAAGGATCTGTACTGGGACCAGTGCTGTTCAATATATTCATAAGTGATCTGGGGAAAGGGTTCAAAAGTGAGGTGACAAAGTTTGTAGATGTTACAAAATTACTCAAAATAGTTAAGTCTCAAGCAGATTGTGAAGAGTTACAAAGGGATCTCACAAAACCGGGTGACTGGGCAAGAAAATGGTAGATGAAATTCAGTGTTGATAAATGCAAAGTAATGCCCATTGGAAAACATCATCCCAGCTATACATATGCAATGATGGGGTCTAAATTAGTTGTTACCACTCAAGAAAGAGATCTTGGAGACATTGTGGAGAGTTCTCTGAAAACATCCTCTCAATGTGCATCAGCAAGCAAAAGAGCAAAGAGAATATTAGGAACCATTAGGAAAGGGATAAATAATAAGAAAATGTCATAATGCCACTGTATAAACCCATGGCACGTCCTCACCTTGAATACTGCCTGCAGTTATGGTCACTTCATCTCAAAAAAGTTATATTAGAACTGGAGAAAGTACGGAGAAGGGCAGCAACAGGTCTGGAACGGCTTCCACATGAGGAGCGATTAAAGAGACCGGGACTGTTTCAGTGTGGAAAAGAGACAACTAAGGGGGCATATGGCAGAGAGCTATAAAATCATGACTGGTGTGGAGAAAGTGAATAAGGAAATATGATTTACCCGTCCACACAGAGCCATTCCTACGGGGGTGCGGGGCCCAGGACAACCCCTCCCCCCCTCCACTGGCCCAGGCCCTGCCCCCACTCCACCCCTTCCCCCAAGCCCCCACCCCACCTTTTTCCAGCTTCCCTCCCCTCCCCTGAGTGACAGCGGGATGGGCTGGGGCCGGGTCGTTCGCTGCTGCTGGTGCCAGGCCCCCTGCAACCCTCTCAAGCTGCCCTGGATCCCGCATCCCGAAGCGTGGGCCTCCCCAAAGCGCAGGGCCCGGGGCAGTTGCCCCAGTCCGTCCTATGGCTGGGACAGCTCTGCCTCCACATCACACAAGAACCAGGGGTCACCAGGTGAAATTAAAAGGCAGCAGGTTTCCATAAGGAAGCATTTCTTCACTCAATGCACATTCAACTTGTGGCAACTCATTGCCAGGGGATGTTGTCTGGGTTCAAAAAGAACAAGGTAAGTTCCTGGAGGAAAGGTCAGTCAATGGCTATTAGCCAGGATGGAAAGGGATGCAACCCCATACACTTGGTGTCCCTAGCCTCTGTTTGCCAGAAGCTGGAAGTAGATGACAGGGGATGGATCACTCGATAAATTGCCCTGGCACTGGGCACTATCAGAAGACAGGATACTGGGCTCCATGGACCATGCGTCTGACCACTATGGCTGTTCTTATCATAGAATTATAGAATAACAGAGTTGGAAGGGACCTCTGGAGGCCATCTAGTCCAACCCCCTGCCCAGAGCAGGACCAATCCCAACTAAATCATCCCAGCCAGGGCTTTGTCAAGCCTGACCTTAAAAACTTCTAAGGAAGAGGATTCCACCACCTCCCTAGGTAACGCATTCCAGTGTTTCACCACCCTTGTCGTGAAAAAGTTTTTCCTAATAGCCAATCTAAACCTCCCCCACTGCAACTTGAGACCATTATTCCTTGTTCTGTCATCTGCTACCACTGAGAACAGTCTAGAGCCATCCTCTTTGGAACCCCCTTTCAGGTAGTGGAAAGCAGCCATCAAATCCCCCCTCATTCTTCTCTTCTGAAGACTAAACATCCCCAGTTCCCTCAGCCTCTCCTCATAACTCATGTGTTCCTGTCCCCTAATCATTTTTGTTGCCCTCCGCTGGACTCTCTCCAATTTCTCCACATCCTTCTTGTAGTGTGGGGCCCAAAACTGGACACAGTACTCCAGATGAGGCCTCACCAATGTCGAATAGAGGGGAACGATCACGTCCCTCGATCTGCTGGCAATGCCCCTACTTATACACCCTCAAAATGCCATTGGCCTTCTTGGCAACAAGGGCACACTGTTGACTCATATCCAGCTTCTCGTCCACTGTCACCCCTAGGTCCTTCTCTGCAGAACTGCTGCCTAGCCATTCAGTCCCTAGTCTGTAACGATGCATTGGATTCTTCCGTCCTAAGTGCA